ACAGTCTATAGGCACGGCTACTAGAATATAGCAAGCATCAAAATGCATTTAATCTGCACAAAATATCACAACGTTTTAATTTAAGGGCTTAATCAAATATTTACATTTCAAATAAATGGTCCCAAGAGGATTTGTCTTGTTCACAAACTAATTTTAGCAGTAAACAAATAGTTAATTCGATGACAGCTCGAGAGAGGCGGGGCCTTAGCGAAGGGGAGGACGTGATTGGCTTAACTCAGGGCAGGCGCTCAGTTTTCCTGGAAAGTTCTTGGAACGCTAGACGTGCGGTTTCACGAGAAACGCCGTGTTCATCCTCGAACGTCAATTACAAACATCAGGAAGCAATTACCGACCATCACCATAATAAAACTCCCAAATAAGTCATTCAAGGATCATTCCAGTGCTAGTCCAATACTCACGAGACTGCTGTATGCTTGAATGAGAAAGAAGAGGGGGTTGATTCTGTGGGTTTCACAGAGCTGCATTGCTGATGGCGTCAGAGGCGCTAAACGCGGGGGGATTCTCAGAAAACCAATTCTGGGAAGTCAGACGAAGTGAACAAGCCAAACCCTGCAGTGTTCCGCTTCTTGTTCAGTTTTAGGGCACGAGCTGAAAAGAAACCGCTCGTTTACAAGAACCATGTCCGTGTTTTCTACTCGCGTAGTTTGTTAAACAAACCCGTAGACGAGTCGCGCAATTACATGACAGTCGGCGATAGACTCCTGACGCTGTTCGACCACCTTCCTATGCTTGAGAAATATCTTTGAACTGTTTGTCATCGCTCAAGGAAGACCACATTATTGTTGGAAGTCCGAGTAAAAACCTTAGGAACAGAGAAACTTTAAGAAATCCGGCAGATATCAAACCAGACATCTTCACGATGATTCTGTGCGTTCAAGGGTGAGTTTTAGCGACCCATCTTTATTAAATGATCACAACAAAATATAGAGATAACAACATCTAATAGTTCATTAACGAAATACCACACATTCTTGTTGAGGACGCTAAGCATAGCGTGAAAGACAAACGACTCCTAAATTATTATTACTTATAATAATAATAATAATACATTTATTTTGTTCAGTAAAAAAGTAAATATAAATATGTCGTTTGCTTAATGTTTAAAAGTATTTTTTGGAACAGTGAAACATATCTGTTTCACTGATATAATTGCAATAATTCAGCCTAATGAAAGATCTTGATTTTCTTTATAGTAATATGTGTATTAACATAAAATATAGTAATATGTGGCATTAATAGCATATAAGGGGAAAAAAACAATTATTTATGTTTGGGTCTCTCTCACAAACAATTATTCAATATACCTCTGTGAATTAAAAAGCTGAATAAGCAGTTTCTGTAAATGTGTATCTCCGTGCAAATTAATAATTTTTTTACATTTAATTTTATTTTTTCCCAGGCCAGCTCATTTGCAAGATACTTCTGATCAAATGGTCAGGTTTCCGGTGGTGACTTTCTCATCTCCTCGCTGCATCCATGCAACTGTTACCTTATGGGACCCTAGCAAAGATTTCAGATCTATCTCCAATAATTTCTCCTATCTGGATGCCTCAGGTAGAATACAATTGTAAAATGTTACATCTATAATAATAATAATAATAACTTATTATTATTATTATTATTTTCATAACAAAATTGCAGTTTGGATTAATTAATTCATGCATTCATTCATTCATAAGTCGGCAAATCCATAAATTAAGGGTCATTCTATAAAACAAGTGCTTTTTCCATTATGTTTTTAAAATAAAGTGTGTTTAATAATGTGTTGAATTAAGCTATAATTAAAAGGTAAATGATAACTTTTTATTTAGGGATATAATTATGCTTTCAGAAAGGTACATTTTTAGTTTCATTTCCTTTTTTTTTTTTTTTATAAAATGTACATATACAGCAATGAGAATTTGGAAACACAGTTGTGGGGACATGCTAAAAAATGGATAATTTTTAAAGGCTTCTAAAAGCACCCGTTTTGTAGAATGACCTCTTGTGGCTTTTTAACTACAATTTTCATCCCTGTATCCATATAAATTCTCCAATAATAATTCATTTATTAATCCCTCCATTTTTTTCCAGGTTGGTACTGGGGTGCCATCTCTGCCAGTGAGGCCCACTCTGTCCTACAGGGGGCATCGGAGGGTACTTTCCTGATACGGGACAGCAGCCACCCTCTCTATATGTTGACACTGTCTGTTAAAACTGGTCGTGGTCCCACGAACGTCCGCATTGAGTATAGTCTCGGACGTTTCCGTCTGGACTCCACTTCCCCGGCCAAATCTCGCCTGCAGTCCTTCCCTGACGTCCCCAGCCTTGTGCAGCACTACGTGGACTCCAGGAACAAAGGGGAGGAGGAAAAGACTGAGGAATTGGATCACGTAACTTCACCAGCACCCAAGGAATGTGCGGTGTTGCTAAAACTCAAAAGGCCGATCCATCGTCCTCAAGCCTTTCCTTCTTTGCAACACCTCACTCGCTTGGTAATCAACAAACATACCACTTGCACAGAAAGCCTGCCTCTACCGAGACCATTACTTGAGTATCTTCAGGATTACCCTTTCCAGCTCTGACATTGCCATGGAAACGCACACCATGGCCAATCACGAGCTGGATGCGTTTGTTTTGAAGGAGGCAAATTAAATGCACAGCCCCAATCAGAAGTCAAAGAGTCAAAAAGCAGTGTTAATCACTTGAAGAGTGACTCTTGTTTCTGGAGCAGGTTTTTGATGGTCAGCAAGTCTATCTTGGTAGATAGATCTTTTTTTTTATATATACCAAAGTGGGACTGAGTCAAGCCATGTCCAGAAATTGACTCGTGAAGAAGCAAGACGTGACTCAACCTTCGTGTCATACTGTTAAAAGCGTGAGAGGTTAAACCACAGGCTTGGGGTTTAAGATTAATTTACTTTTGTACGGGTCACGTGACCCCTTTAGGAACGGTTCAAAATGAGAAACTCTGAGCTCACGAGAAGTACATACAGTACGTAGCTTGGTTTTCAGCACTCTATAAATGCGAGCTTAGTCACTGAACTGCCTTGACTGGAATTGTTTCTTTCCTTGAAAGTGAAATGTTTTTTGTTTATCCAGATTTACATATTTTTTTTTATGCCCACAATGTGGAATTTGTATGTATTTATGGATGAAAAATCCTTCATTTTGTAATAAAAGTGACAATCAAATTGACTTGAATTCATAATGTTTTATCCAGGATTTTATCATGTCTTTTGTCACTTCTGAGAATAATTTGAATTTATAGAAGTGTAATTATGTAAAATGCATGGCATGGGAAAAAACGCCTAAAATGATGAGGGCAGATGCTGAGTAAATAGAAAAAGAAAATGAAACCTTTTTCGCAGAATGAAACATACAGAAGTGCTACAGAGAATCAAACAATCAGACTCCGATCTCGCCTACGTACTGGCCTTCCAGTAAGACTATCATTCAAAACTGTAATCTCAGAATAATAGGATTATTAGATGAACAAATAAGCATGAAATTGATTTGCAATTTAGTTAATCATCTCAGGACAAAATGTGTGTTATACAAGGTTATTAGATGGCTTTCTGAATGCATCCTGAGCTATGGCCATAATTGTTTTACAGTCGAACACAACTATGTTCAGGAAAGATCAAAATTAATTGAATCCACTAACTCAAAATAAATATTTGATATTTAACATCAATATTGGATTTTTAAAAATTATTTCCATTTGGTCCCTTTTTTTTATAAATTAATAAATGTAAGGAATGTTAAAATATTTTTAGATGTTGAGGGCAGAGCTTTGGTAATTTGAAATGCCTATGATTTGAATGAATTGAAAAGAAAGCTATGGGATGAACAAGCATAACAGAATATTAATGAGAAATGAAAGACATACACATACAAATGAACATAAAAACATTGTTTCCTCATCGTGAATCATTCTTGCTGCGCACCGTGATTAGCATTTCCCAGAAACTGAGGCAGAGCTTTTTCTGAAACTCGATCTCAGTGCTGCGCAAGCTTACATAAATTTGCTGGTGACGTAAATATGTAAATATCCTTTATGTGCAATAATATATGTGAGAACAGTATTAAAAAAGGTAATCGTTGAGATCTATTTTAACAGTTGCTTCTTATTTAATTATCTAATCAATAAGATTCCAGTCTAAACTTGCCATAGATGCAAATATTATTTAGGAACATAAAAACAACAAAAAGGTATTAAAAATATTTTTTATTATAGCTTTGCATGTCTACAGGAACAATAAAAAAAAAATAAAATTTATTTTTTATTTATTTAGACTCCGCAGTATTTTAATACACATTACTAAAACAAAGAAAAGAGGCAGTGGGTGTAAAATTCTGTTTCACTCATTAACAGACTAGCACAGACAGATTATGACAGATGGTGTATACTTGTATACATTGTGGTAGCGGAGCATGTCGGGTTGTCTCTGTCTTTGTGGGCTAGCTGAGCGAGCGAGCTAGCGGCAATTGGCCAGCTGTTTCGCAGAATGAGTGCATTACTTCCAGGGAGAGACTAGCGCAGGACTGGGAGGGGGAGTTCTTAGAAAAGGCCTCAATAATTACCTTCAGCCTACTGCACCCTGACACTTGCACACTGAGCACATACTCACAATCAATGCAATCTCACCACAACAAACCACAGCCACACACACACACACACACACACACACACACTCACCTATTAAAAGGAAAGCGAACATAGAAGCCATAACAACAGTAGGTTACAGCACAAAACAAATAGAAAGCCGAGGTTGCCGGATTTCAGGAAGGAGCTTCTCGGTAGGATTGGTAGGTTTTTAACTCAGTGCATGCTGGGAACTGGCAGGACAGTGAGGAGACTGGCAGTGTGCCGTATGTAGTTTGGCTGCAGGCATTTTTTTAATGGGCATTTGCTAATGGTAAAGTCTCTAGCTCTACCTATTGTGGTGTTATACTAGATGATCATCTTCATGCCTGTCTTTCCTAATGTATTTCCCTCTGTCCTTTCTCTCAGCCATCCTCTCCTTTCTTCTGTAAAATGCAAAATCGTGGCCTGTAAAATAAAAAGAATAACAATGTGTTTACCAGAATACTATACACATGTAATACTGCTAACTCGGCACCCAGAGATAACAAGGTAATAGACTTGTCTACTAAGGTTGCATCAGTTTTCATTTACAGGCCGTTTTTAGTAGGAAATATTTGTATGGAATTACCAATGATCCAGCACAACAAAAGCTCACACATATATTATTTTTGAAAAATATATTATATTTCAAATCACATTTTTAATATACCCTGAAATTTCCGGGGTTTTTTTTCTTCACATGGGAATAAAAATAATATTTAGTTAAACCATACCATGAAAGACAAATGCCTTAGTTAGTACATATTTGCTATTGAGAAAGTAATTTCACATTACTCATACTCACACTCTAACATGGACTCTGTCTAGGAACAAACATTCATGGAATGAAAATGTATTACTTCTAAATATTTTTTTTCCACACATATGACAGGCATTTGTAGCAAAACTTCATTGAAATTAAGGAAACATCAACAAAACAAAGGGCAGGCCAAGTTTACAGAAGAACCTTACCTGTTGGTGAGGTCACAGCGGGTTTCTAAATAAAGCAACCCCGGCATCATCTCCTCTATCAGCTGCTGAATGATTGGAGGATGGCATGGGGCAACCTCCAGGTAAACACGCCTGGGCAGACAAAGACATTTAAAAGCGTAAGAGAGGAAAAGGTTGGGTGGAGAGGATGTTTTACCAAGTAAATCTCGTAAGCCATTAGTCATGAAGAATAGTACATCTGAGATGGAAAAACTGAAAGCTAATGCTAGAATAATCCCATTCTATAGAGGTTCTCGGTATCTATGAAAGGACAACATGTGTCAATTCTACGAAAGACACAAGTCTTGAGTGGACACAAAATAAGACACCCAAGGTAATCTGAAACCCTATATAGACCACTTGAAGTTCACAACATGCACCGACTAGAAAAACGACACATGCAATTCTCTCAGGCCATAACGAGTTTATCACTCATCCGTTTGGTGAAATGTGAAATCGAATTGATAATTTTACGGGCATGGAATATGATCACCTTACACAAGACAGGCTTTGCAACTCATCACCAAAGGCTAATTGTGTTATTTGTTATTGTGTATGCATGTATGTGTATGTGTATTTGTGTGTCTTGGGAGTGATGAGGGCAGGAGGAGGACTGGGAGAATGTTCTGGTCCCTGAAATACTGTTATCTACTGAACTACAGAGAACTGTGCTGCACTCGATTCCCTGAAGCATTTAAGAAATGCTGGGAAAGCTTCTTAATGCGATTATACCATACTATTTATACTGCGTTCGGCTAAAAGGCCACTCACACAAGAATATTCAAAGAGAATCAGTCGCTCTGCCAGACCACATATGAGGGCTTTAAAAGTGACATATCATGAAAATCTGACTTTTCCAGGTTTTAAGTGCTATAATCAGGTCCCCGGTGCATCTACCAAGCAAGGAAACGTGAAAAAGATTAACCAAGTAACTTTGTTTTGGTAAGCCTTTTTCTGCAAGCGTCTGAGAAAACGAGCGCATCTGATTTCGCTCCCTTGGTGACGTGGCAAAGGGATCTTATTATAATATTACCGCCCCTTAATCTGTAAGTTTCCACCCATGGCGCCGTTATTGTGTTTTCGCAAGTGACAACGGTGTACCAGTTCTAACGCCATGAAAGTTTGAGCAAAGCATGCTAACTGTTCTGTCTTTGGCTGCATAGACGAGCACAGAACACTATTTATAGTCCCAGCCTAAGAGGAGACAAGAGAGCAGTGGATTTATTGATTTATTTACTGTATAATGCTGCTGCCACACAGATCTAAAATAAACATGCTATTTATTTCCCAGCCGTTTACCTTCAGACATAACCGACTGTTTTTTGTAACTCATGTGTTTTTAACGTAAACTTGTGTGTGAATGAGAACTTAGTTTAGTACTCACATGCCTGTGACAGCCGCTTTCTGTCCATGTGCTTCGGATGTGTGCTCTCAGAAAACCGTATATCAGAAGTTATATGGTTTAAAACGCATGATTTCAGTGCGATAAACATGATAATCAGAACCAAAACAGATGTTTTTAGCAGGTACGACCTGTAATGGCTCAGCTCTATTCTGGAAAAGGGGGCGGGGAGCAGCAGCTCATTTGAATTTAAAGAGACAGGCCCGAAAAACAGCTGTTTCTGCTTCCACTCAAAATATGCATTTTCAAAATGATATAATAAATGATCTGTGGAGTATTTTGAGCTGAAACAGACACGTTCTGGGGACACCAGAGACTTATATTACATATTGTAAAAAGGGGCATAATATGTCTCCTTTAAGCAAACACACACTTCTTACCCTCGCTGAGTTAAGAGCTTCGAGCTCAGAGCCAGAATCGGGCGAATCACAGACAGCCCGTCCAAACCCCCGTCCAATGCACTGTGGTCTTCAAACCTTCAAGGGTAGAGGTGAGGCCGGTTAAAAGGCTACATGAGAAGTTCTCAAACTCACACATCAAAGGTTAAAGCACAATTTGAGAGTGTCCGCATGTTGGCCTAACCCGAGTATCTCGGTTTGTAAAGTCTCCATGTCCTGACTGAGCAAGTAGGGAGGGTTGCTGATTAGAAAGTCAACGGGGTTGCATTTGCTCAGTATCGCATCTGCATCTAGGAATACAAAACACATTTTGATCTCTTGCTGTCATATGCAAAACATAAATTTGCACTGGAAGCTTCTAAACTAAACAACAATATTGACCAGATAAGAAATTAATTGGCATGAATGTTGAATTACATACTTGTAATATCTGGGAAGTTTGTTGTTGTGCTTGAATCAAATACTATCAAACTATACACATATACACTACTGGTCAAAAGTTTGTGGTCAGTAGGATTATTAATAATTATTATTTTTTTTTTACAGAAATTAATATTCAGGATGCATTTAATTGATCAAAAGTGACAGAAACAGCATATATAATGTTACAAAAGGTGTCTATTTCAAATAAAAAAACTGTCTATTCATCAAAGAAGCATGTATCCAGGCTACAAAAATTTTTTCACAACACATCTGTTTTCATCATTGATAATAATAACAAATGGTTCTTGAGAACCAAATCAGCATTTGAATGATTTCTGAAGGATCATGGGACATTGAAAACTGGATGCTGAAAATTCAGAGAAATAAATTACAATTTAAAACATATTAAAATAAAAACGTAATTTAAAATGGTTCAATATTTCACAATAGTACTGTTTTTTACTATATTTTCGATCAAATGAATGCAGCCCTGGTGTGCATAACAGATTTCTTTACAAAACTACTACTCAAAAAAATTTTGAACCGTAGTGTAAATTTTATATAGTATAAACTCTATTAGGTGCTATTTATATGTATATACAGTAGTATAATAGTATTTGATTTTCTCATGTATGTATACTGTACACACACACATATAGTAAAACAGGCTGTCAAAACCTGCATTAGTGTCAAACATCCATGAATCTCCTGAAAAGCCTCCATTTATGTCTGTTAGCTCAATAAACACAACACTTGTTAACTAAAACACTTAACATTTCTGCAGAAGTACCTTCATTTATGCGGTCAGTGAAGTGCAGCGTTTAAAGAGCAAACAAGTTCATCTCAGTCTAATATAGTATTTAGCATTCAGACGGGCTGTTTTTAATGCCATCTAGTGGGAAGAGGCACGATCTTTAACAGGAAAAGCCCAATAAATCTCTGTAATTAGCGGCACATTTCCATGTCACTACCTTAGAGGCCCTTCTAGGATTTGGGCTGAATCGTCTGGCTCGATCCATCGAAGTCTCGATTATCTACTAGCGCTCAAGTCGCACTAATGCTAAAACAATTATGAATGTTAGTGATAAGGCCCACAATGAATCTCTGAACTCTTTTTAGTTTCTTCACGGATTGTGGGTGGAAATTTTGTGGCACGTATTTAAATGTGGAAAATGGAGCTTATTACTGGCATCTGAAAGCATGATGAAATTAGCCACAATATTTAATAAATAAACATACAAGGAGTGTGGGATGTGTAGAATTGTGTATGGAAAGACCGACATTCAAGTTCTGCAGAAATGCATGGAGCTTTCTATGGAATTTTGAGTTGTGCATTACGTGCAGGGCTACAGTTTACTTGTGACTCATGCGTTGATCACTTCGGCCAGTCATAACAAGAGAGAAAATCACAGAAATGGGACAATCAAAAGATGCTAGTCACTCCCTCATGCTGCATTCCTCTCCACACTCTAACCAGCCAAGTGGCCTTGTTAAAGTTTGATCTCAGCTTTGAAACATCAGCAAGTAATTTGTGAAGAAACCAACAAAGAATGAAAATAACATGCTGTTAACATCTTGACCTGGCTTTGATGACACTTTGGCTAAGAAATATTTCCATTCTGTCAGCTTTTGTCAAATTAAACTTAACCTTTGTTTATTCAAATCTCTCAAGGCTAGATGCAAGATCAACACAAGCACACAAACAGCACATTCTGCATGGAAAGTCTAACTGAATCCAGATGATTAAACAGTTTAGCGCTGCACTTTGGGATTCGTGTTCCATCTAAATTCATTATCATTTGGATCTTAATGTGGTTCTCCTCATAAAAATGAAATTTCATGACAATTAAGTAAGTAATAGATCTTGATAGCTTATTCCTGATAACCATTTTATAACCATTATTAAAGGAAATACTTAATGTGGCAACCTAAATATCCTGTTATTTTTTGTTTAGAAACATAACCATCTGTGTGAAAGCACAACATGAGCCTGAAGCCTTAATTTGTATAATAAATACATATTATTATTATTATTATTAGGTGAATAAACAGCTGAATTATATTTAAATATATATATTAAACATTTATATTAAATACACACACACACACACACACACACACATATATATATATTTGTGTGTGTGTGTGTGTGTGTGTATGTGTGATATGTAACTGTTAAGTTTACAGTAAAATGTTCTTGTGACATTTATTTGTTAAAAACTGATCACCAGTTAACGGTCAGTGACGTAAAATAGGCAAGCTGACCAGAAATTACGTTGGTTGTGTGCAACATTTATATTAAGTACACACACACACACACACACACACACACACACATATGTGTGTGTGTGTATGTGTGATATGTAACTGTTAAGTTTACAGTAAAATGTTCTTGTGACATTTATTTGTTAAAAACTGTTAAAAACTGATCACCAGATAACGGTCAGTGACGTAAAATAGGCAAGCTGACCAGAAATTACGTTGGTTGTGTGCGGACCAAAAATTGCCACTTTCACAGGAAGTCAGTCTCACAATAATAATTAACTGTTATGACCAGTCATTGCTGAGTGGGATTTTCGGTCTTCACTCTTATCACTCTTACCCTTAATCACATCTAAAAGGTGAACATCTAGTCTGTCCTGCAGACCCAGTCTGGAACAAACAAAAGAGGATAATGACACATATGAAAGAGTCAAAATAATAAATCATCAAGTAATAAAGATCCAAATATAGAAGCTTTATAATATATAGTCAATGGTGAACACAGGTGCTGGTGGTCACCTGTTTGCATTTTCCATTGTAAGACATACTGCTGTCTGGCTTTGATCCAAAGCAAATACCCTGAGCTTAAAGAATCATGGGTACAGATGTTAAAGATGACATGCTACATTACTCAGAAGAGCAAGACAAATAATTAGAAAAAAGACACTGAGTGCAAACCTGTGGAATGCTGCGTAGTAAACTAAGAGAGATGGCTCCAGATCCACAGCCTACCTCCAGACATCGTAAATCAGTCGTGTGCGATTCCCCCCGTATCAACCGGAGGTCCTCTAGAACCAGATTAACCAGCTCCTACATGCACACAAACCAGCGGGTCCAAACGGAAATAAATGTTGTTTTCAAACACACAGGCCGTGTTTATCCAAAAAGTCACGTCCAATTGAAGTCCACTCTCAGTTTGTTGCAAAATTCGGACACGTGCTAACTAGGTCACTGAAGCTTTTCACCTCTGTTTCAGGACGGGGTATGAACACGGGAGGCCTCATCTTAAGGTTCAGGTCTCTGAAGTCCCATTCCTCAATCACATATTGTACAGGCATCCTAAAAACATGTGCACACAGGTTAATTAAGGAAATCAATGTTCATTTCAACATGTAATAACACATTATTAAAATCAAGTTTTATCTGTTAATATTATTTAAGCTAACATGAACTAACTAATTAACAGGTATATTTTTAGGATTAATAAATACTGTAACAAAAGAATTGTTTATTGTAATTTCATGCAGTAACTAACCTTAACTAATGCGGCCTTATTTTAAAGTGTTACCAATTTTGTTTATATTTCATTTTATTATTTGCATATCTTCATTGTATCACCATCAATATTGGCCATTGGAAAAAAAAAACATACTGGTTGAACACTAGTTTTGTCCTTCGCTAGACATAAATAAGAAATGATCAGTGGGTGGAATAAGTTCAAAGTCCACAGAAATGGTTTAGTGTTAATCTAAGGAGAGTAAATGAATAACAAATAACATTTTAAAATAACTCAATTCAAAATAACTTTAATGAACTTCTGTGAAGGCCTTCACACGCGTGTACATGGTCTTAATCATTAAAAACTCAGTGAAGTTGTAGTGAGTATAATTGTAAAATATAGTACCTTGTGAGACGTTTAGAGCCTAATTCCCACACTCGTTCTCTCTCCCTGTCAGTCAGGGTGTCTCTCAGCCTTTTCCTCTGCACACATTCCAGCTTTCAGCAAAGAAAGACAAGGACACAGTGTTATGGAAAGGGAAATATGTATGTCTTTGATTTTGAAAAGAGGAAGGAATGGGAGTGAACTGAAAACTAATTTCTTAAAGTAGTAAACTAAGAGAGATGGCTCCAGATCCACAGCCTACCTCCAGACATCGTAAATCAGTCGTGTGCGATTCCCCCCGTATCAACCGGAGGTCCTCTAGAACCAGATTAACCAGCTCCTACATGCACACAAACCAGCGGGTCCAAACGGAAATAAATGTTGTTTTCAAACACACAGGCCGTGTTTATCCAAAAAGTCACGTCCAATTGAAGTCCACTCTCAGTTTGTTGCAAAATTCGGACACGTGCTAACTAGGTCACTGAAGCTTTTCACCTCTGTTTCAGGACGGGGTATGAACACGGGAGGCCTCATCTTAAGGTTCAGGTCTCTGAAGTCCCATTCCTCAATCACATATTGTACAGGCATCCTAAAAACATGTGCACACAGGTTAATTAAGGAAATCAATGTTCATTTCAACATGTAATAACACATTATTAAAATCAAGTTTTATCTGTTAATATTATTTAAGCTAACATGAACTAACTAATTAACAGGTATATTTTTAGAATTAATAAATACTGTAACAAAAGAATTGTTTATTGTTATTTCATGCAGTAACTAACCTTAACTAATGCGGCCTTATTTTAAAGTGTTACCAATTTTGTTTATATTTCATTTTATTATTTGCATATCTTCATTGTATCACCATCAATATTGGCCATTGGAAAAAAAAAACATACTGGTTGAACACTAGTTTTGTCCTTCGCTAGACATAAATAAGAAATGATCAGTGGGTGGAATAAGTTAAAAGTCCACAGAAATGGTTTAGTGTTAATCTAAGGAGAGTAAATGAATAACAAATAACATTTTAAAATAACTCAATTCAAAATAACTTTAATGAACTTCTGTGAAGGCCTTCACACGCGTGTACATGGTCTTAATCATTAAAAACTCAGTGAAGTTGTAGTGAGTATAATTGTAAAATATAGTACCTTGTGAGACGTTTAGAGCCTAATTCCCACACTCGTTCTCTCTCCCTGTCAGTCAGGGTGTCTCTCAGCCTTTTCCTCTGCACACATTCCAGCTTTCAGCAAAGAAAGACAAGGACACAATGTTATGGAAAGGGAAATATGTATGTCTTTGATTTCGAAAAGAGGAAGGAATGGGAGTGAATTGAAAACTAATTTCTTAAAGTACTTAATATTTTTTTTGTTTAAACTGGAATCAATAAAATAAAAATCTAAATTGCAATTCTCATTAACCCTTATTTTACACACACTAAATGCCTGCACACATTTTTAGTTGTACCGGTCAAAACAAAACCAAACAATGCAAAATTATATATATATATATATATATATACAGTATGTGTGTGTGTGTAAATATAAATAAGTATAGATATATATGTATACACACGAAATATAAAATACATTTTTAAATAACATAAAAAAATTAGAACATTGCATTTTGGGGGAAAACTCAAATCAAACAGATCACTGAATACATTCAAGCATTTATACACTGAATAATGTCTACATAATTTACATTGTATCATTTGCATTGTATCAAAACATGATGAGACTGAAACTCACAGTTTTTTCGCCTAGTACATGAGATATGATGTACTGGCTAGAGAGAAGGGGCTCTGAAATGCCGTGCAGTGTGAAGTGTTGAGCCCACAATCTGATCGCCTGCTCTGCTGTGATTCTGCAGTCTGCTGGAGGAGCAACAGCGCCGTCTGCTGCATTTGACCACAACCTCACAACACTCTGGAAAACAACCAACAGAAGCACATAAAACAACAACAGCACATTCTCAAAAAATGTGACAGTGCCGTAGTCATAGAAATACATATTTCAGTTTTATGCTTATTTGATCATAGTGATCGTAATTAAAATACATAAGAAATAAGACACTTACTCTGTGTTTTGACACTCCACTGTGTATTAATCGATTCAGAAACCAAATTGTCTTGAACATTATCGTTCTGTACTGTAAGCTGATCGAGCTAACAATAAAGGCTGAGCTGCTATAATATTCGCGGAATAGCTGTCTGAAGAAATGATGTAACTTGCATGTTTTAGCCCTTGGATCCGAGTAACACCCCGATGGTAATACCACATACCATGTGGCCCGAATGTCCGAATCTCGTTCTTATGAGTCGGATCATTTGAATCAGTTCAACGGGTTGATAAAATGATTGATTTGAATGATTCATTTACGAACTGGATCATCCTTATATTTATTTCTCATTAAACAAATGCCAGAAACTGGCTTCGGATGCCCGTTCTCAACGAGGAGACAAGACAAAAAAAAAAAAAACGAGGAGAAGAAGATTCTAGAATCTTTTGCGGAAATAACGCACTCCGACTAATACACTAACCCGTGAACGCTCAGACCTATCCAATTCGTAGTGAGCTGATAGTAAAAACATTTGAAGTATAGACTACCAGTATTTGTTTAATAGGGCGAAAAATGTATCAGGTTCCACTGCGATGACGTAAAAGTATACCCGAATCATTTCTTGAATTAGTGCTTTGAAATGAATTGTTCAAATGAACCGATTCGTGTACACGAAGCGGACTTCCTGACACTAGTGCACAATGAATGCTCTTACAAATTTCAAAATAAAAGCCGTAATCGAGTACTGTGACAACCAAACTAAACTAGATATACTTTAACCCCTATCTGTGTGATCTAAAATGACCACTAGAGAGCGCAAGTGCATTACTTCACGTTTAAAGGTGCTAAATATTAGGAATTAATTACACATGATAAACTTGATAAACTAAAATTTTGGGTACAACGGGTCTAAAGATCCCCATTTATTTATTTATTTATTTATTTTTAATCTGGTCCTAAAGTTTATTATGACAAAAAGAATATTGATGGAATAACATGATTTGTGAATTACTGGAAACTTTGTGACATACCTTTGCCCTGAATGTGCCTGGTTTCCTGGTTAATTTCACTTACTTCATAATAACTTCCAGATAACATCTTCTATGTTACTTGGCTATTAGTAAATTGTTTGTGTACATCTTAGAGCTCAAATTTTAGTTCATGCATATTGTCCAGTATTGTGACAAGACAACACAAACTTCAAAGACATAGTTTTGAAAGGACTTGTTGTCTGCAGTCTGAGTTGGAGAAGAGAGAACTGCAGAGATCACGTGAGGAGAGACTGTGAGGCTGGATTGGGGGATGGAGGACTGGTGCTGTCAGCCAGATGGGACTAATTGTTATTGTGTGCTGCAGGGGTTGCAGTGTGTGAAGCCTCAATCTATTTGTGAGCAGTACTACAAGATGATTTCAACTGTAAGTCTTGTGTTTCCCCTGAAACATGTCTGTCAGAATGTCTCTCCTTATATGAACAAACAGGGATGAGACGATAAAAATAAGATCGAGAGAAGTGTAGAAGTGAAAGAAAGAGGACAGAAAAGGACGGAAGGCTATGAAGGGGGTTAAAGTACAATATCAAAGGAAAGGAAAATGTGTCAAAGTATTAAAAGAAAAAAAGAAATGGCAAGAAGCTTTTTAGATGCATTTTTTGTCCTTGAAGCAAATTTGTGATAATAGCTCACAGTGTGTGTGTAATTAAGGGAAACTGGTGATGCCTGCCAGGAAAAGTAAGACTGCACTGGTTTCATAGCCGGTGATACTCTACAGTTAAACTCAGACAATTTACCATTTAAATAAACTGCCACAAATGCTACTGTCTGTCAGACCTAAATGATCATCTCAAAGTTAATCATAACCTTAACCATTGTGGAGTAACTGCAAAGTATTTTTAAATTGGATTTTTAAAAAGATTTTTGATGCCAAGGACCCCTAAAAGTGCTTATTTTCTTGCAAGAGACCACCTTTCTAAAATATAAAGGTAGCTATTTATTTTTATGTATTTTTAAGATATATATAGTCAGAAACAGCATGCTTCTACAGACAAAATGTTCTTTGCAAAAATATTTTGTGTGTGTGTGTGTGTGTGTGTGTGTGTGTGTGTGTGTGTGTGTGTGTGTGTTCTTACAGTACTGAAGCTAAGGCAAAATTTTAAATATCATGTTGAAAAATACTGACTTAATATTTTTTCAACCCAGTATTACAGTAAAGTAAATGTAATTGTAAATCAGAGTAAATTTATTTGCAATGTATTGTTTCAGAGCTGTTGACAGCTTTTAACTTTGGCTGTCCTAAAAATATATTTTCGTGCTTAAACATTTAGTAAAATCTTGTAAACACAATGTGTTGGTTGTGGCATGTCAGTTTGAATAAGCCACATCTGATACTGTGGGCATCACCAACCACCACAACCCATCTCTCATTCTATCAATCAATCTACCTTTCTCTTGTGCTGCTTTTCTTTCTCACTTTCTTTCTATCTGTCACACGATCTACACAGACTTCATCTTGATAAAACACACAATGCAGTGTCTTGTTAGGGCCTTGTGATTAGAAAGTGCTCCACGTGTACTGTAAACACAACATTGCTTTTTGTTTTCGAAAAAATAAATATAAAAATTATATTATATAAAAAAAAATGGTCTAACCCATTTTTTGTTCTTGATTTTCTAGAGCTGAAAGGGAAGAATTGGAGTCTGAAAAATGAGAGCCTGAAATTGGCCCAAGACATTTCCAGATGCCATTTCCCCATTGTTTAAACTGTCTCCTCCTAATAAAATGTGGCAAAACACCAAAAGGAAAAGACATGTTAGTTCTTTTACATCATTATTTACAATTATATCAATGCCAGAGCATTAAACTGATTTTGTGCATAATATGTTTCTCTGTTGCTAATATGACAGGAATAATCTAACCTGGATTCATTGCACAATGACAGGGAATAGCACAGTGCAGCTGAGTGCCAGATGTGGATGATAAAAAATGGGAAGTATATGCAGGATATTAAGTATATTAAGGATTTTTAACCTGCTCTTGGCATTATACTTTTGCTGTAGTGATTATATAAAGCAACATTGATGTAGGATTTTGTCTTGTTTTCACTGAGTATGTGTGTTGCTGTGATTATGCTGAAGGTAAGATTTCATCTTAATCCTTTAATTTAAATATAGCACGTGTGTAAATGTAGCATCAGATATTGGTCATGTAATCGAAAGAAAACATAAATCTGTACATGCAAACATTTTTCCAGCTTCTCAACGTGTCCAAATTTCATTCATCTTCAGTGGCCTATACCCTGGCAGCGGTCCAGACAGAGTCCTCTATGGCACATATATTCTCAGCAATGACTCATTCTGGTGTTTTGAGCCTCCCGGAGGAAGCTCTCTTTCTCTCTCCGTAATTCCTCAAGCTGAAATACTGAGAAGAACCTCACAATGCTGCTTTGTCCTTCAAAAACACTGAAGTCATAGTTTCCCAGGCTGCTGCCCCCTGAGATGCCTAGAACTGAAGAACTGAGAGGAGGGGCGCAGAGCTTGGTAAATTGCTTGCTAAATTTTTTTTGCCATGAACAAAAGGGTACAATACATTCTTGTGCTTCTGTAGGGATCTTCATTACCCCAATATAGCTGATGATATTCTATAAAATGTTCCCCAGCCTCCTTCACTTTGATAAATGAGAAAATTACGGATTGTTTCCCTTTAAGCATGAATCTGAATTGAATTGGCACCAACCTGTCTGTCTATCTATCTATTTATCTATCTATCTATCTATCTATCTATCTATCTATCGTTCTATCGTTCTATCTATCTATCTATCTATCTATCGTTCTATCTATCTATCTATCTATCTATCGTTCTATCTATCTATCTATCTATCTATCGTTCTATCTATCTATCTATCTATCTATCGTTCTATCTATCTATCTATCTATCTATCGTTCTATCTATCTATCTATCTATCTATCGTTCTATCTATCTATCTATCGTTCTATCTATCATTCTATCTAACATTTGTTCATTCTGTACCTCTCGTTCAGTCTACCTGTCTGTTTGTTGTTTTAGCTATATAGCTGATGTTTGTTCTGTCTATCATTCTAGTTATCTAGCTATTGTTTGTTGTATCTGTCTGTCTGTCTGTCTGTCGGCCTGTCTATTGTCTTTCTGTCTATTCTATCTATCATTTGTTATATCATTCATTCTATCTATCGTTCGTTCAATTTGTCAATTTTGTCTGTCATTCTAGTTATCTATCAATCTATTGTTCATTCTATCTATCTATCTATCTATCTATCTATCTATCTATCTATCTATCTATCTATCTATTTACTGTAGATAGATAGCCATTATTTGCCTTCATACTTCAAAAAACAAAAATGTGACCAAATGTATCGTGGCATTGATTATGAATCATTCAAAAATCAATAAGTCCACATGAGAGCTGGATATTGATATCATAAAAATTATGTTTTCACATCAGAAATGTAATCCTCTCACTCCTCTTTATGTATATCCCATTATAAATTCCTGATGTAAGCTTGTGAAAGTGCACTTTGAAAAGGTCAAGTGTCTTGTATTTTAAACACTGCTCAAGAAGCTCATGTTGGTTGGCTACAGAAACACTAAACTTTGTTTGCTTGTGTGGAATAGATCAGTGACAATATTAATGCTATGGTGGTGACATGCACAACCCACGTTCATAAATATAACACTGAGTAATGCAGCTATTTCTGAAAGAAATATGAAATGAGGTGAGATATATGCCCTATGTATTTTCTCACCATGTATTTTAGGGAGAATGCTATGTGAACGTATAGCTATTGATTTTGTCATTGAATTCTAATCTCACATTTTATAGTGTTTTGCAGTGTCACTCAGACCACGATCCATCTCACTAAGAGCTTTTCTCTTGCACTGCAAGATTGCAGATAAAATGACATGATGACAGAGCTATGATGTGGGTCTCTGTGACTGCAGGTTTAAACACCTCGCTGACAGGAAGTGTCAGGCCACCGTCTTAGTTCTCAGAACATCAAATCTTTGAACATCCCTGACACCTGAATGAACAGAGCTTTTGTCACATGCTAATTTTTTGGACATCCTGAATTCATTTTGAACACTCAAGGTTTTAGATGCAAAACAAATCAGATACTTCCAAACACATTTTAACACATCCTGCCATATTATGCAAATCAAACGAATTATGAATCACCCACAGAATAAAAAAACAAAACTTGAGTGTGAATTGAACATCTGTGCTGTTTCTTATTTCTTATTTATAACAAGATCACATGCAACCATCAGATATCCATGCTTCATTTTAGACCTCACAATGTCCTTATGAACTGCAGGTTTGGAATGAACAGAGTGCTACATGGTTTAGCAATTAATGAGCCTCCATTCCCAGTTTTCCAGCTAACTACCAACCTTTTAACCATCTCCCTGACTAAACTGAGAAATGCAATGATATGTAGTGACCTAGAGACTGACTATAGTATCTTTTCTTTCACTCACTTTCTAGCTATTTCAAGGTTTTTATCTATTGCATGCATTTCACCCTCATGTTGCATAAAGCCCTTATTTGTGTATTTTTTATATGATGCATTTTGATTAATCAATTGAAGAATTCAATGGACAGAATGACATTTATGAATGGCATCGTCCAGTGCCTGTTTCCTGTATGGCTGTGGTCACATTTGGTCTCTATGTGTCTTCTACAAGTTATGAATTAAAAGTCATATTAATATTGCCAATGCAATTTATCCCCCCACTAACTTTATAAAATACAGTTAGCAGGTATTTTTTCAAAATAAACACCAACAGTGTTCCTCATTCTTAAAATTCAAATCAGTAGCCCTATTTCATGTCCATTTTATTTATTTGCTGTGTAGTAGGGTGTACAGTCTGCTGGTCATTACTGCAAAGTAAACCTCCTTCAGGGTTATACAAGATCACTTGATCACCCTGCCATGGTTTATTTTGCAATAATGACATTTGTGGCAGTGATGCAATTATTGCCTATACTAAGAGGTAATAGTATCAAGTGTTGGTCTGGGTCCTCACTGCCTTATGTAATCTATTGTGCATAACTTCATATTTTAGTTAATAGCTATGAGAAATGGGACACAAAACAAACACATTGATACCTCTAAGGAAAATGATACCTTGAGCTAAACACATTGGCTTTAGAGAATGGAAGTGTAAACGAAACGCCCTGAGTGAGAGTGTGTGTGTTTGTGTGTGTGTCCTGGGAGGGGTGCATATGGAACTGATTGGATTGGTTGGGGGACTGAATTCGACAATAGGAGGAGTCTCATACGACTCTCGGGCGCTATTCTGTTCTTTGCTTTGCCGCTGAGATTGTAATGCAACGGAGACCAACCGCGCTCAGATTATGCCATTTTAACTCTTCCTTCCAGAGCATGCGGACCTGAGGACTTCATAAACGGCATTGGCACAGACGCAACGCCGCATCACTCACACCGAAACCTCTTGTAGGCAGGAATTGTATTTTATTCAGTCACTTCAGATGGCAGATCTTGAACAAGAAGGAGCAGCTTCTCCCCGAGCCCAGCAGCTCTTCTGAACGCGAGGGATCGGATCTGAGAAAGCGCAGGTGTGCCCGGGGTGTTTACAGCTGCCCTTGTGCTTCTATCTAAAGGGGATAGTATCAGGATTACCAGCAGATGTAAACTGAAGGACACTTCTGATAGGTACTGGTGAGGAAGAAGGGGGAAAAAGCTGCAAACTGTGAGAATCGGGAGTTTGCGCGCAAGGCTCAACATATCACTGGATTCTACATTTATACCTCAAGAAAAATGTCATCTCAGACGAAGATTAAGAAGGACAAGGAGATCATAGCGGAGTATGAAACGCAAGTGAAAGGTATGCATGCTTGCCTGTTACAAATCGATCCGAGGAGTTTAGATGAACATCATTTCACTTGGCCTGCAGCGAGATACTTGGATGTTTGATCCGATTCATAACCTGCTTCTCTAAATAAACAAAGATGACTTGTTTAAGCCGTAATAACGTTTATTCTTTAAAATTTGCAGCTATTTTTATGCTCCTAGCACTCATCCATTTAACTAGTATATATTAAACCAGTACTTAGGGTATTCATTAGATGCTAGTAGCCACACTCTGTTAGGTTAATTAGTACTTGTTCATTACTAGTAGTATTCTTTAGCTACTAGCCGTCACTATCCCAACAGTGACATGTAGCTAGTCCATTACTGGTAACATATTTTTGCATCTTTAGCTCTGACATCAACTATTCACTTCCATCTAATACTGTATGTTTTTCCAGTTGTTGTTGTCAGTCGTGCTAGTAACTATTCTTTTAGTATTAGTGTATTGGGTATTTCTTAATTATTACTATCCCAGTAGTTAGTAGTATTGACTTTACATTACATACTAGCACTTGTTAGACACTAATGTGAATTTCATTTATTACTAGTAACAGTTTTGATTTTACTATAAAGTAGCCATTCTGACTAGTCATTACACACGTAATGAGATGACTAGTGAGATATGAAATGTTACTAGTAGCAATTGGCATAGATACTAGTATCTCATAAACAGGACAGCAATAAAGTCCATGTAATGGTTTGGCATTTGTGCATCAAGACCTGATTGCGTCTCATTCTGGCTTCTTCATGCCTTTTTTACCCCAATGTTTGACTTTGTGTTTGTTTGTCTGAAGTTGCATTGTGCAATAGTTGGGCGGGATGTCCTTGCTGCTTTGTAGCCATCTGTCCCTTCCTCATGTCAAAAATGTGTCCAACAATAACAACATTAGTAACTTTGATTCTGTTGACACGGGGTGTTCTGCAGCACAGGAATGGTTTGATATATTCAAATGTGTTTTATTGCAATGACTCGTGCGCCGTTGCACATAAATTCCTGCTATTAATGGTCTGCACATTAAGTGTTTGTGCACACATTGTGTTTTGGTGGAAACAAGAAGCTTGGGTGAGGGTTTTTGTTGCTGGGTAGAATGATGTATTGTAGTGTCACACTCTCTGCACAGATGGGTGGAACTTCAAGGAGACCAGCGAGCTTGGTTAATTCTTATCCTTTGTTTACAGTGTACTAGACCTTTTTGGCAGATCTTGCATTGAGGGGAAAACAAAGATCTGTGTATGTAAAGAAGGCAAGTATTCTAATCAAGTGAGTATGTCTAGATGGTGATCTGTTGTTGTGAACAAGATGCACAGATGTTATATATTGTTCCCCCCGTTTACAGGATACTTTCCCCCTCAATAGACTTGAATGACAGTTGGTGTTTGACTAAATGTGTCCATTCACAAAGCATTTTAACAGCTTTAGTGTCTGTAGTGTATATTTGTTGTTTGTCAGACTGAGCTTGTCTGTCAAGGTTTAGAAACTAACTAGGTTTAGTCTGAAAGGGCGTTGCAGAAGCAGTTCATTGATTGGCTACTCAATAATGACGGTGAAGGTTCAAAGGACTCTGGTCATTGAAATGAAAGGCTGGATTATTTGTAAACCCAATAGAAAGGGTGAATAATAACTTGAGAATAGTCATTAATTATTAACTGTTAATAGTACAAACACTTAACCAGTTGCATCAATTTAAAATGAGTTTGCTTATGCAGCAGAGCAGGGTTTGGTAATTTCTCCCAGTTAGCCTTATTAATATTCAACATTTAAAACTGGCTGTCGTGAATTTCAGGGATTAAGTGTAATGTGATGCACACTGAATCTGCGGTGGGATTTACAAAGTCTGTTCCTCTACTATCTCTGATGTGATTCTCGCTTGAGTAGCTTTTGTTAAAAGAGAGTCTTGCCCCTCAGTGTTTTGAGAAGACCACATGGCTCTCAAGCATAGAGGGGCCCGTCCTATACTTTGGATTTACATAACTGTTGTGATCTGTAACACTGCCACTCTCTTCAACAAATGCTATTAACATTAAAATGTGGACCAGCCCTTCCCCCATCTGTAATGAAATGGTACCAAAGAATTTAGAAAATGTCAGAATATGTATAAATCCAGCTGGATTTGCTAACATTAGTTGTAGTAATATATTTTAATTTAATAGTAATGATGATGATAATAATAATAATGATAATGATATTATAAATAAACAATATAATTACATATATAGG